TAATACCCGAATCACCTGCTGACGAAAACATTGCTAGAATTCGAGAGAGTTAGAGATAGAAATTTGAAAAGAAAAAAAGCTCAAAATAGAATCACCCCAAACGACTAACCTTGTTGTTGAGGCTCATCGCCCTCACCCTCTGCACCGTTTCTCTTTTCCGCATCCTCATTTCTCACACTCTTCAACGTCTTTTCCGTCGGCTTCTCTTGATTTCCAATTATATTTTCACTCTCACCCTCTCCGTCTTCCGAAACATTCGAGAAACTAGACGCTTGTGTGTGCACCTCAAATAGAAAAAAATTTCACCGAATTTCTAAACATGATGAAAAAAATTCACGGAATTTCCACATTCCGGAAAAATCATTCACCACCAAAGAAACACTATGAGAATTCGAGAGAGCCAGAGATAGAAATACATCAAACAACCAGAAAAAACCCAAAAATAAAACTACCTAATGAACTCACCGAATCAGATTTATGCATGTTGGCCTCAAACGTCCCAAGACCACGACCTCCCCCCTCCAGATAGCTCTCGTACCCCGTCAACTGCGCACCCCCCTGGATGTACCCCCCCTCCAAGGGGGTCACCCCCGTTTCGCACCCGTCCGCGCCTTGCCCTCCTCTCAGAAGCATCGATAAATCCTGCGGAGTATTCGGGAAGAACTCGTTTCTGGCCACCTCCTGCAGTTCCTCCGTTGCCGTGCTCTGACTCTCCTCGAGTTCCGATGACGCGGATGCGAAACTAGCCTGAAATTATTTGAAAAATTCAGGTACCATTCCCAAAAATTCACCTTAAATTCAAGCACCACTTCAAAAATTCACCTAAAATTCAACTACCGCCCCAAAAAATTCACCTGAAATTCAAGTACCACCTCAAAACATCCAAAAATACACCCCCCTTCCAAATAATACTCACCATTAAACGCGATCTCCTACCCTCTCCATCCTCCTCACTATTTCCCATCGCTCTCTCGTCCTGCTCCTCTCCATCCAGCGTTGTCTCTGATTTCGTCGCACCACCACTCGTATCACTCGATCGCATAAACTCATCCAAATAATGCACATTTCTCTCCAGCCGGCTGTCTCCACCCGCCTCAATTCTGCCACAATTCAATGAGTCATTCCGTGAAATCGTCGATGGGGTTATCTGAAAATATTTTCCATTTTCACAAAAATTTTCCTTTCCGAACTGAGAATTCCAATGGAAGCTTGGAAATTTTCATAAAAATGTTGGAAAATTCCAGTGGAAAGTTTGAAAATTCCGTAAAAATCCCCGTACCATACTATCGCAAAGAACACCCGAATGCATTCTCGAACATACCGAACACACGTCCAACTCTGCAATCGCGCACGTCAGCAATTCCTCCTGTACAAATATTACCATCATTATCAATAAAGAAACCAGTAAACAAAACACGGTAAACAAGTAAACAACACTGTAAACAAAAAGTAAACAAAACAGTAAACAAGTCAACAAAACCGTAAACAAGTAAACAACACCGTAAACAAAACCTTAAACAAGTAAACAAACCAAACAAAACCGTAAACATCAAGTAAACAAAATCCTAAACAAAACACAGTAAACAAGTAAACAAAACCCTAAACAAACTCGTAAACAAGTAAACAAACCCGTAAACAAATAAACAACACTGTAAACAAACCCGTAAACAACTAAACAAACAAACAACAACCACAACACAAAAAATCACCACCACTCACATTAAACACGTCATCAATCTCCTCGTAATTATTCGTGCTCGGTGCCTTCGATACCGACGACGTCATGCTCGTTGACGTGTCCTCCTTCGAGTCCTTCGATGCCGTCTCCGAGTTATTACCCGACCTCGATGCCGGCGTCAATCCCATACCCGATCCCAGTCCCAGATCTGCCGCTAAAGTTGCCGGAGATGCGCGGCTCGTCGATACTTCGGGTTCCCAAACGAAGCACAGCTCTGGCCCATTCATGTAATCGAACGATGACCATAACACCTTTTGGATGGCGCACCCGTCACGCACCGTCAGCTTTAGACGTCTCGTGCAATCCTTCAATTATTATTATTATTATTATTATTATTATTATTATCGTTCAATATTATCATTATTTAATATTATTACT